GATCTCCAAGTGCAAGCGGGTCCGAGTCTTTACTTGCTTGCTTGCTTATTTCCTTGCCTCCTTGCTTGCTTAGTTACTTGCCTCCTTGCTTTCTTGGTTACTTGTCTTCTTGCTTTCTTAGTTGTTTGCTTCCTTGCTTATTTCTTGCCTCTTATCTTGCTTATTTCTTGCCTCCTTTCTTGCTTATTTACTTGCCTCCTTGCTTATTTATTTACTTGGGTCTGCTTTCTTAGTTACTTGTGTCCTTGCATGTTTATTGACTTCCTCCTTGCTCTCTTATTGACTTGCCTCCTTGCTTTCTTATTGTTTTGCCTCATTGCTTGTTTATTTACCTGCGTCCTTGCTTTCTTAGTTATTTACTTCTCTGCTTGCTTATTTACTTGCACCATTGCTTACTTCCTTTTTTCATCTGTTGCGATTCGTGTAGATAGATGTTATTCCCAGCGTTGATATATTCAGGGATATTGTATCATTTTAAGCCAGTTATCATTATCATTCATCTTTATATCATTATCATCAGTTTTTTTTTATAATCTTTATTGTTGTTGTTATTATTGTTGGCATTATTAGTATTGCTATTATTGTTATCACTATCAGCGTTGTTATTGTTTTTGTTGTTATCATCATCACGATCACCGTCATTATTATTGTTATTATTGTCATCATCATCATCATGTTCTACATATCATTATTGTCTTCCTTATCATTAGTATTGTCACTATTACAATGATAATTATTATTGTTGTTGTCATCATCATCCTCATTATTGTTATTATTATTATTACTATTACTATTACTATTATTATTACTATTACTATTATTACTATTATTGTCATTATGAGGAGGTTGGGGATAAAGATGAGGACAGTTGTTGTTGTAACTGTTATTTTTTTTATTTTTTTTATTTTCACCATTAGTAGTAATAGCTGTTATTATCATAATTATCATCCTCAAGAGCATTACATTTATTACAATTCTTTCTAAGTATAATGATGACTATCATCACTGTCATCAGCAACAGTTACAATATTAGCTGCATGGTTGTAACTACTGAGTAAATAGAAAAAAATACATTCAAAGTCAGTAACACAGTCATTAGAGATAAATTTGAACCCAGACCCGAATCCGTTGCAGCGGCTGGGCGAGCTGCAGGATGCCACCGAAATGGCGCGGCAGGAGCGCTTACGGTCCGAGGACGAGTGCCAGAGGAAGGAGCGAGTTTATGCCCAGAACGTGCGTCTCCTACAGGAAGCTGCGTCCCACCTGGAGGAAAAACTCGTCAAGAAGCAGGAGGTTTGTCTCCGTTTGTTTTTTGAGTCGTCTGCAAAGGGAGATATGGTTTGGGGTTTCCTCTGGGCGGTGGAGTGATTCGTGTTTTGAATGTGTCGTGAATCGGTTCATTATCAGTTCGCAGAATCGGTTCGCGATAAGGGAATTAGGTAGAAATAAAATGAGATAAGTACTTAAAAGAAAAAATGAAACATATTAAAGACAGCCAAAGATAAGAGAGATTTTAATAACCCCGCACCCCACACCCAACCAGGAACAACTCCGGCTGCAGGAGCACCGCGCCCGCCTCCGCCACCTGACCGCCCTCAGAGACGGCCGCTACAAGACCCTCACCGCCCACTCCGAGGAGGCCCAGCAAGCCCTCAAGAACAGACTGATCGCCCGCGCCCATGCCTACACGGGCGTGGTGACTCAGCTTGAAGCAAGTTACCCGCAAATGGAAGTGAAATTGAGGAATCTCAAAGTTTTCCTGCAGAATTTCCTAGAACCAAGTTAATTGCAAGGAAATGCACAAAACTCTAATTACCGGTCACGAAATTGATACTGACTCACTCTGATGGACTGGCTGTGTAATACTTCTGAGTAATTTGCTGATAATCTCATCATATATAAAATTCCCAATCATATGGTATCCAATTATTATGTATAAAGTAAAATTAAGTTTAGCACTGAGGATGAGTGATGCAACAAAAGTAAGAATGCTCAGTATTTAGAACGATGCGTTCTGAATTTCCATTTGCTATAACTGAAATCGTTGAGAAAATCAAAAGTTTATTTGTTTTTAAAAAGCAATCTGAAATGATGTAGGTACTCTCACTATTGTTTATGCAAGTTATAGAGTAGTTTTGATGATGCTTCCCTTTGCATTTTTGGGACCAAATAATCTAAACAATTTTGTTTATAAGTTGAAATATATCAGAATAAAAAAGTATATATAAATTAGCTTGAGTATCTTTACTGCCTCGATAGCTGAATCAATGAAGGAAGAATTTCGCAAACATTTCGTGTATTAAACACATAAATGTGATATTTTATCAGATAATTTGGGAATTAATTGCATTCAAGTTATATATTTTAACGGATTCGTGTAGTCTTTCGATGAAACTGGAACTTAGGAGAATTATAAAAACATCAGGATAGTCCACTCGAGATCCACGTTTTTTTTTTCAGAAAGGCTTAGATATGGCAATCGCACATACTGTGTATGTAT